CCGAGCATGCTCTCGATACCCTCGCTCGTGCAGCCGCACTTGCAGAGAAGCATCACGATCCCCGTCCCGAGCCCCCTTTTGTCCGCGCCCCAACGCGCGATGTACAGAGGCTGCTCAGCCCTGTCCAGGACCACCATCGCTTGCGCACCATGTCTCGCCAAGTCCTCGAGCAGCAGCAGCAGCAACAGCAGCACCACCACCACCATCTCCGCATTCTCCAGCAGCAGGAAAACGCCAGGCACGAGCAGATGGTCATTCAGGCACAGTGGGACCGCGAGAGAGGTCGCACAACCGATGGGCTCGGTCGCCCAATGGGCCTTCCTGTGGATCTCGCGGCGCTGCGTCCGGCCGCAAATCCGATCCGGGCCTAGTCCGTCCCCTCACCAGCCCCGCGTCCAACTCCAACTATCTCATCGCCCACCAGCAACAGATGGAGCCCCCGAGCAAGAAACGCCGCTACTCCGACTCCCCGTCTCAAACGGCTTCGAGTGGGAACGGACTAGTTCACTCACTCGCCTTGGCGAGCGCAGCATCCTCAATCCCGAGGTCGATGTGGTCCGCACCGATGTGCATCGGCCCTCATCCAGTTCGTCCAGTTCCAGTCACGGCGTCGCCACTCCATTCGCTTTCCCGCGCGTGACCGAGTCGACGCACGCTCGGAGAGCAGGATTCAAAGCCCTCCTTTCCCCCTAGGGCGACGATCGCCTCCCGGCAGCCTAGCCGGGCGCGCCAAGGCCCGGAAATCCGACCCCGAGGAACCTGACGTGATCCCGTACGCCCCCGAACGATACAACGCTACCACCGTTATCCACCTCCCCGAGCGAGAGCGGGAAGATTACATCGTCGAGGACAGAAAGCACAAGAAATCACACCCTCGTTTCATTGAATACGCGCAGGCCGCCGGCCCTAGCCGACGTCCAGAACCACAGCAACAAGACACTCGCCCCCACGTTGCACCCCAACGACGTCCACAGCCACTTCCTCCGTCACGGCAGCCAAAGGAGGAAGATGCACACGAGTGGCTGCTGGAGCATTTTGCCGACCCTTCCCCAGACGCTCAGAGGCGGAAACTCGACCCGGCAAAGCCTCTTTCTCCCGTGCCCGTGCCCTCGCATCAGAGTCAAAGCCCGTCACACACAAAGCAAGTTCCTTCGCCCCTGGTTCCCGCCACTGAAGCCGCAATCGCTCTCGAGGAGGAGCTGTCTGCCGTTCGCGTCCCCGCCGCAAGCAAGATCGAGCCCAAGGACAACGAGATGGATGTCGATCCCGCCGTTTCAGAGACGCCGCCCAAGCAGGAAGAGGGCATGGAGGTCGACGTGGAGGACGAGTTGCTGAGCTTGGTCGACGATCGCCCGCGGTCGCGTTCAACCACCGGTCCACCCAGCATGAGCCGCGTGTCCTCGAGTGGCGGTAGCAAGCCTGCGCTCCGATTACCGAGTGCCACCGAGTCCGGGTCGCGCTCTGGGTCCCCAATGGTGTCAGCCTCATCTCCTTCCTCCTTCATGCTTCCTCCGTCTGAACGGGGATCCATGCCGCCACCCACTTCCACGACCACTGGCCAAAGCAAAAGCAAGGAGTCGGCGTCGCGAAAGAAGGAGACGGGTACCAAGGTCCGCGCGATCAAACTTTGCATGAAACTCACCTCATTGTTCATTCGTAGGCTGCATCCAAACCCAAAGCGTCTGGTGCAGCTGCCAAACCGCGCGCCAGACCGGCCCCAAAACCGAAAGCCAGCAGGGCTATTTCGGATGTGGCTGCCGGCGCCGGGCCTGCAACTGCAAAAGCTAGAGCTCCTTCCGCCATATCCCGGCAGAGCGGCTCAGTTGCAGCGTCCATGTCCCGCTCTCGTTCCACCTCCGTCATGCACGGCGGTTCCGTCGGACCAGATGGTTCGTCTGAGAAACCAGAGGACGAGGACGAGGACGCCCTTGCCGCCGCCGCCGAGGACGACAAGCTGTACTGCATTTGCAAGACCAAGTACGACGAGGACCGGTTCATGATTGCTTGCGACAAGTGAGTGTTGTTCTTTCTGTGGCCCTCGCAATTGCTGATTGTTTGCACGATCTAGGTGCGATGAGTGGTATCACACCCAGTGCGTGGAGATGCCAGATCTCGTGGTCGATCTGGTCGATCAGTTTTTTTGCCCACTTTGCATCCAGAGTACGTTTCTTTTTCTATTACAAGTTTGCTTTGTCGAACGGCGTACAGAAAACCCCAATCTTTCGCTCAAGACTACGTACAAACCCCGCTGTCGCTACGGCCTTGATCACCCTGAACCCAACTCGCCCAAAGCCTGCCACAAACCCGCGCAGGGTGCCTTTTCAAAATACTGCTCTCCCGAGTGCGGGCTGAACAACATCAAGAAGCGTATCGACACGTTTGCGAAGAATGGGGGAAAGAAGGAGCTATTGTGGGACAGCGTGAAGGACGCGCAGAAGCGGGAGGCGGTCGTGATTGTCCATGTTGAGGAGGAAGACAAGAACGAAGGCATGGAGGGATGTATGAAGGAGAACGGCGACGCCGCCGTCGCGGTTCCGGTTGTTACCGCGCGCGTGAAGCCGCCGAGTATGGGCAAGGTGGAGCGGGAGGTGGCGAGCTTGAACGCGGTGCTGGATGAGATTGTGACGCTGCGCGAGGACCTAAAGGAGGGGATGGATATCGTTCTGTGGCGGGAGAGGCTGTTGGACCTCGCGAGTGAACGTGCCGAGCAGGTCGGCCAGTGCGGGTGGGACCAACGCTTGTGCTTCGGTGACGACGAGTGCGCCGACTTTGGAGCGGGCGTTCTTGAGACCTACGAAGATGGTGCGAAGGATGGTATGCAAGTCGATGGTGCGCCCGATGCTGAGGATTGGTGGTGTGTCGAAGGCGAGAAATGTGAACGCCACGCTGGGTATGTTTCCGCGTTTGCTGTTCTGCAGAGATCTGGTGGCTCAAATGATAGTATAGCTGGCAGCTGATCCGGGGCAAGGACATCGCAAAGGAGAGGGAGAAGAAGGAAGAAGCTCTCTACAGGCTCACCACCAGGGAACGCGAAATCCGCAAACGCATCGAGGACATTGTTGAGCCATACAACCGCTCGCGCTGCCTCGACCCAGGCGCATCTCCTTTGAAATCTTCCAAGCTCGTCAATGGCAACGCCAAAGGCAAAATCACAAATGGGGACAGCAAGAAAGGGAAGAAACGAAAGAACCCATCTTGAGCCCGCTGTATCTTTATTTCACGACTGTTTGCATTCCCCACTCTCTCTTCTTTGAAACCAAACCAAACCAGCTTTAGAATGTATTGCTATCTTGTTTTGTTGTAGCATCGACCCTCAAAGAATACACTAATAATGGTTGTCTGTCTAACTTTGCCCCGGATTTCTTCTGAACACTACAATGTTACAAATCGTATCGACCGCGATACTGCGAGGCGTAATGAATCTGCCTATAGTCGCTCCTCGACCAAAACTCCTGCGGCCGGGGCATGGACACTAGTATCCTTCCCTCTCGTGGGTCATCAATACCCATCCCCTTCTCCTCCCTCCTTGCAGAATCCTTTCTTCTCGTATAGGATCTGTGCCTTGACTTCTTCTCGTTGCTTCTTCATCTCGATGTCGTTCTTGTGGTACGGCTCGAGAGCGGCGTAGTCCACTTGCCGGCGCTGCGGTATTTCGTCCTCCAAATCAAGGTCCTGCGGGAATGCGAATATAAGCCGACGCGGACACACAGCAGGCCAACGTGCAATTTCGCCCAGCAGTACGACGTTTTCGCCGCGAATCAAGAACAGCCCGTGAAAGTTTTCTGCGAACGCGTTGCCGTGGTATATGCGCTCGACGGTGTCCTCAAGTACAAGGTTGGCTGGAGCGCGTCGGTGAGTCGGAAGGAAGAGACGGCGGAAGGCCTGTAGTACCGAATTGGTCGTAGGACCGTAGGACACCGTGCAGTTTTCTTCCGTCTCGCAAGACGACCAGCATCTTCCCTATTCAAGGGCGGACGGTGGTAGGGGAAGCTCAGGATCACAGAAATGGGGTTGACTTGGTAGACGTACTGTCCACACAATCCACGAGCGACCCAGATGTTGTAAAAGGTATTAACGAGTCCATGAATTGAAGAACGTCTTCTTTTAGAAACGCGCACAACACAGACACACAACGCGACTTCGTCCAATCCATCATCTCTCTGTGCGAACTTTCAAATTTCAAACCCATTGCAAGTTGAGAAGCTTGGCGGAATTGCATGCACTCAATGCACGCGATTGTTGGTTGTCTGTCCAGCGACGCTTATTCACGCAAAGATACGCGTTTGATCACTAAATGCGGGAATGACAATGGCTTCAAACCAGCGGTGGCCGTCATACTTGTCGGTATTCGCAGTCCGCGCCACATCGACTGATAATATCAGGACCAACGATTGGCGGGTCTATGTGCCGCGAAAGCCTCTCCAGGGCTATATCCATTCGCCATGCGTCCAGCTCGCGAAGAATATTCGCATTCCTGCAGGTCAATACTCAACTGCAGGGTACAAATACCAAGTGTGTCCTCCGGCCTTCTGTATATCACCGATTCTCTCTGGTTTCGGCTGGTCGGCCCTGTTCTGGAAAGAATTTATGTCAACATCAAGTAAGTATTTCACGTCTCGGACGACCGAAACATGGATCGCTCCGCTAGAAGGACTGCTGCCCGTCAGCGTCAGCTGCGACAATTACGAGACTCCGTGCCAACCTCCGCGCCATTTCTTTCATGCATTTCAAGCAGCTTCACCACAACACGGTGCCGAAAGCAGACGAATCTGGCGACCTGAAATAAATGTGCGCAGTGTAACTTGGTGTGCTCAACCAGCGCAGTTCATTTCTAGTTCTCTGCCGATCGAAATAAAATTTATGTGGCCTTCTGTGAGCATAAACTGTTTGACTCTGGAATCGGCTAAGGAGGACTCTCCGTCATTACAAGAGCAAGCTAACGTAACCGTCCTCCGATACTTACTCTGATCATGGTCCCTTAGGGACACACTCGTCATTGCGGCACTATGGCCGAGTGGTTAAGGCGACAGATTTGAATTTCTCATTATCTGTTGGGATCTCCCGCGCAGGTTCGAACCCTGCTGGTGTCGTTTTAGTTTTGTTTCACCCAATCTCAATGCAATTCCCTAAACTTTCAATCGTGTTTAGCACGACAATATTTTCGCTTGCTTCCGACCAGCCATATTTAGGTGCAACCACTCTCGACGGTCGCACAGAGCATATAAATTTATGCTGTGCGCCCGATCGCGGTCCAGTCCCTCTGCGTCGAATCACCCCACAAGCATTCGATAGGCCGAATCTCCCGGGCATGCAAAAGCTGGAGGCAGCTTGGAGCGTGGAATCGCGGTCGGCAAATTCAAGAGCGTCTTGTGACAATTGAGAATAATGAGGTCGGAATTTGTTTTGCATGAACTGGGCAGACTGTCCAAAGCCGAGCGTGCAAAATGTGAGGTGGAAACGAAATCAGTGGAGAGAGAAGTTGAAGACCCGGAGCAAGACATACGGTCGCTCATAAGGACACGCCGGCGTCGGACCTGGACGCAGCTCCTCAGAATGCAATTCTAATTCCTCGAAGTCCAAAAGCGTATCCCAGGTTTCTGGCTTATGACTCTCCAATTTGGAGAGATGGCGGTTTGCAGAACACAGTGAAATCCTTCTGGTAGTACCGTCGAATAGGCATTCAATTCAATCCGGGTAGAAATTCAAGTCTCAAAGAGAACTGGGTTCCCAGTGATGTGCCGAAAAAGCGGTTGAACACAGTCCAGTCACCTCGGTGCCGTCCAACAGGCGTTCAATTCGATCCTGGGCTCCATAGTTTACATTCTAATCGAACTGCGACGTTATGTGTCTCAGTATTCCCACTGGCCAGGTGCTGGTCTGTCGGCGAGTGGTTCCCAGCTGGGTACAAGCGTGAGCAACGCGTTAGACAAGGGATCCGACGCGACTTACGCCTTCCACTCGATCATTTGAGAGGCGAGTTTAAGCTCGTCTATGGCAATGAGCAGAGACTCCTCGATGACACCCTCGTCTAGCCCCTTCTCTGCGGCGGCGATATCTGCATTCGCGGCCTTGACGATGTCTAGTTTCTTTTGTATGAGGGCCTCGGTCGCCTGACGGTAAACGGAGGTCGATGGGATCTGTGCGAGGGTGGTGAGGGTGTTCTGGTATGTCTGGGAGAGGCGGGGAGGGGGTCCGGGTGGACCGCGAGGCCAGTAAGACCAGTAGTGGACCTCAACGCCTGGAATAGTGGCCGTGTAAGGCGAAACATTATGATCGGAGTCTGAATATTCGTTGGCCTTCAACTCCCAACGATGTCAACACTGGCCATCGCATTACCGCTCTTCTCGAGGTCACAGTTGACACGACCGCTATTAGCGCGCCCGTTATTCTCGATGCTTTTCTCCACGCCATTTTCGACGCCGTTTGCATTCGCGGGCGTCCATGCCTTCCTCCCAGCATCCCGCACATGGTCCTTCCCCTCCCTAGAATCCCTGCTCGAACTATTCCCTCCATTCGTTCTTGCTGTACCCAAGAAAAAAGTCTCCCATTCGCGAAAATCTATGCGTGAGGCAAACAAGGGCTTGAAGGACAAGCACAGTATGTCGTGTACTGTCTTTGTTCACTCTAATTCTAACGCGACCCAGATATCGTCAATTGCCCCGCCTGTGGTGCCCCAAAGCTGGCGCACCATCTTTGCAACCAATGTTTTTCGTTTCTGAGCAGAATGTGGAAGCAGTCGAAGCAAAACGCAAATCCGCCATAGAAAATCGTGCTCTTGCCAGGTTGCGAGTCACGTCGAGCTACGATACACTATTCCTACACGCGCTGTACGTATTTACTAGGATTCCGTCTTGCTTTCTTTTTCTTAATTGCGAGCGGAGCGGTTCCAACCTTCACATGCGCGCGCGGGTACACAACATAGTCCTCGTTTCCGTAGCGTAGCAAGGCAAACTGCTAGTAGCAATAAAAAGTGGACCGGGCGGTGCGCATTTCTGGTGTAGTTCCACTCCTACCAAAATTTCAGACCATAAGGAAGAAAGAAACGCTTTCGACGCATCACTGACACCTTGACTTCACGTGAGCGGGAGAACTTACATCCACGGCTACTTCTCCCAATGACCTTACCGCAAGTCCCACAACCATGTTGGCCAGAAGACTCTTGTCCCGCGCACCACTTTTGCGCTCGGCCAGTACCTATGTTCCGCAGGGCCTCGCTGCTATTCTGCAAAAGAATCCTGACGACGTGGTTATCACTTTCGCCCAGCGGAGTGCCATTGGCCGCATGAAGAAGGGTCAATTGAAAGACATCACAGTTGATGAGCTATTACAAGCCCTGTTCAAGGTGATTCGTTTGCATCGGCGCGTAGATTCTATCCAATCTCGACCAGGCGACTCTCGAGAAAACTAAGTTGGACCCATCCAAAATTGATGATATCTGTGTTGGTACGTCTGGCGTCTAACTCCAAGCCTTTCCTCAGTTCGGCGACAGGAACTTGTCACCCGCCGTCTCCTCTGTACACCTCCAGAGCGGCGGCGCTGGCCGCAGGCATTCCCAATCATGTTCCAATCTCGACTGTGAACCGTCTGTGCTCCTCTGGCTTGATGGCAATCCGCAGTATTGCGCACGCCATTCAGGCGGGCGAGACGTCCATTGGGCTTGCTCTCGGCGCCGACAGCATGACCATGCAGTTAGTTTTCACCGCCGCATTTGCAATTGCGTATTTATTCATTCGTTAGTCCTCGTCCCACACCTCAAGTCTGTGAAGCAGTGGACCAGAACACAGAAGCCCATGATTGCATCCAAGTTATCGAAGCTCCCTCCATTCGAGACCTCCGCTGAATCATACTTATAGCCCATGGGGTGGACGTCTGAGATGGTGGCTCAAACGTACAACGTCTCGCGCGAAACGCAGGACAGATTTGCCCTTATATCACACACGCGCGCCAGTGAAGTGCGCTTGCAAATCTTCTTGACTCACTGTGCTTGACTCGCAGCTCAGGCGCAAACCAAGGGAATTTTCGCGGACGAAATCATCCCGCTCGAGCTCAAAGGTACTATCGTTTCGGTCGATGACACTATCCGGCCAGGCGTCTCAGCGCAGTCACTGGCCTCCCTCAAACCCGTGTGGCCGGATTGGGGCCAAGGCACTACTACCGCTGGAAACGCAAGCGGAACAGGCGACGGCGCTGCTATCTGCATTCTCACGACCAGAGCGCGCGCTGAGCAGGAAGGGATGAAGGTTCTGGGAAAGTGGGTTAGCAGTGTGGTTGTTGGTGGGTCTTTTCCTCTGCGTCTTTCGTTTTATTCAAAAGGATAGGCTGTGAACCGAAATACATGGGTATTGCCCCGATATTTGCAATCCCGAAACTCCTTGAGCAGGTAGGGTTGAAGAAAGAGGACATTGACGTCTACGAAGTACGCTGTCTTTATGGTGTACTGCTGGCGCTCAACCAATTGCAGATCAACGAGGCGTTTGCTTCCCAATTCGCATACTGCGTCGGAGAATTAGGCATTCCGATTGAAAAAATCAACCCCAAGTGCGTCTGCGACTCTGCATTTAATTAGTATGCTTCTTCAACTGAACTGGATGCAGTGGCGGCTCCATTGCCATCTCACATCCTCTCGGAATGAGTGAGTATTTATGGAGTCAAACGTCTCCAACTCATAATTTTTGCAGCCGGCGTTCGTCAAGTTGTCACTGGTCTCGCGGAATTGCAGAGGAAGAACGGGACGCTGTTGTGCACCAGCATGTGCATCGGAAGTGGAATGGGTGCAGGTAAGCAATGTCTACTTCAGTCACACAGTACGATGAAAAAGGTTGGTTAAACAGCGGGTTTATTTGTGAACGAAGCCCGTAGCGCTAGCAAGCTATGAACAGATGATAATGGACATAATACATTGACGGAATACGAGGACACCTAAGAAAGAGAGCCAGTCAGCAATCATTCAGGACGCGTAAGAAGGAAGGATAGAAGAAGATCTCAGCAAGTCGTTCATGTCAGTGAACCACGCAGGCCGAGGGCCATTGGTGGGTCAAGTCGACTAAGAGGTGCCAATGGTTGTATATGATACAAAACTCGTCATTGAAGGGTGAAAGAGGCGAAATGAAGGTAGAAAGGATTCGTCTTACCTCGAAAAGAAAGAAGGACGATGAGGGGAAGGAGGGAGTTTTGGGAAGAAACTGATCGCTTAAAAAGGCATGAAGAGGCCCCGGTCACACGCGTGACCATCATCACGCCTGGACAGTTTCACTTTCGGCAAAGGCCACCCATCCGGTACCGTATCCTCAAGGTATATATTCCAGTCAAATATCGATTCCTTTCTTTCTCTCAACACCTGCCAGACTACAAAATGGCCACCCAGATCAGTAAAAAGCGCAAGTTTGTCGCCGACGGTGTATTCCGCGCCGAACTCAATGAATTTTTCACTCGTGAACTCGCCGAGGAAGGTTACTCTGGCTGCGACGTTCGTGTCACCCACGCCCGCACTGAGGTAATGCCCTTGCGTCCAGTTTTCATATTTTCGTTGGTCACCAACAGCGCACCAGATCATCATCCGTGCAACCCACACCCAAGAAGTTTTGGGCGAGAAAGGGCGTCGCATTCGCGAGCTCACCGCTCTCGTCCAAAAACGTTTTAAGTTCCCCGAGAACTCTCTCGAGCTGTACGCCGAAAAGGTTCAGTACCGTGGTCTCTCTGCTATCGCCCAATGCGAGAGCTTGAGATACAAGCTGCTCGGCGGTCTCGCCGTCCGTCGGTTCGTAGTCCATCTATCCCAACGGCCCCGTTCTTATTCGTTATCCCCAGTGCATGCTATGGTGTCCTCCGCTTCGTCATGGAGTCCGGTGCCAAAGGTTGCGAGGTCGTCGTTTCTGGCAAGCTCCGCGCCGCGCGTGCCAAGTCCATGAAATTCACCGACGGTTTCATGATCCACTCCGGTCAGCCCGCCATCGACTTCGTCGACTTTGCTGTCCGCCACGTCCTGCTGCGACAGGGTGTGCTCGGTATCAAGGTCAAAATGTGAGTCGAATGTCAAGCAGCCACACAAACGGACCCGGTGACTCATGGTCGTGTCATAGAATGAAGGGCA